TTGTGAACAACTTTATTTAATATAAAAAGATCGATTTACTTAATAAAAACTTAGCAAAAATAATGTTTCATTATACCACCATTACTTTTGCTGGGGACTGTATATATAAAATAATATTAAATTAAATATTTTAATTGACAGTGGGTAAATAATGAACCTGGAGAGAACATGACTTCGTTTCCATTTACTGTAAATCAACAAAATGATGCACAAAAAAAACTAGTTGAATTCATGATTAATAATGTCCAGCCATTTTCATTAGTCACAAGTGAAACATTTAAAAGATTTGTTGCATCACTTAATAGTAATTTTACCATCCCTACTATATATACTGTAAAAGAAATGATATCAGCAGCATCAAATAATCTAAATAATAAATTAAAACAAAAGTTATCAGATAGTTGTGAATTCTGTTGTTTGACAACAGATTTTTGGACATCTCGTGATAATAAAGGATACATTGGAATTACCTGCACATGGTTAGAGAATTTTGAACTTGTAGAAGTTTTGTTAAATTTGTCATATGCTCCATACCCACACACTGGCTTAAAAATAAAAGAATTATTGATGAATGAAATTATAAAATGGGATTTAGAAAAGAAAGTTATTGGGATTGCTACTGATAATGGTAGTAACATGGTAAACTCTATAAAATTATTAAATGAATCATTGGATATTGAAAGAATTGCATATGCTGTACACACATTACAACTTTCAGTTAAAAAAGCTCTAGAAATAAATGATCAAATAAAAATTTTAGTAATAAGGGTAAGAAGATTAATATTATTTTTTAAATTGCCAAAACAATGTGAAAGACTTGAAAATATTCAAAAAAAATTAAATTATACTCAAATCCTTAAGCCAGTTAAAACAAGGTGGAATTCTACTTATATGGCATGGAACTGTTTAATTTATTTAAAAAATGCTATTTTAGATTTAATTAAAGATATGGAAATAGATAATGATAGGGATGTTAAATATGACTTTAAAAGATTAAAAAAAATATTATTGAGTGATGACGAATGGTCCTTAATTGAAATAGCTATATACGTTACCTTGTCTTTAGTATATCCTATAATGTCACATCTAATTAATAAAATAAAATTACAATTGCATAATGATAGTGAGGTTGAGATTTTTGATGAATTTGTCCCCCCTCTAAACACTGAAGAAATTATTTTAGATTGCTCTAGTGAAATTGAAGATAATAATACTGAAGAAGCTGCTGAAGAAATGGATGAAATTTTTATGCAAGCAGATGAGAATGATGGTGAAATCGAAATTTTAGAGGAAAAAAAAAGTGGAGAAAGACTTAAAAAAAAACTTAAGATATCAAAACCAATTAGTATTTTAGGATTAAAAAATAAAATACTTAATGCATTATATAGTTCTTTAATAAATTATTGGTCAGTTACTCCACAAATAGGACTTTTGGCCTCTGCTTTGGATCCAAGATTTAAATCATTAACATTTGCATTACATCGTTATGATGCAACATATAAAGTATTATCAGAAAAAAATCTAAATTTAGATTTGAGAAGATCAGCTGTAGTAATACAAACAAATCCATCAAAAAATACCATTTTTGACGAATTATTGAATATTACTACACAACAAATCAGTTATGATGAATTGACAAGATATTCAAGCATAGCAAATGTTGCTGGCAACATTGATCCACTTGCTTGGTGGAAGGAAAGAAAAAATGATTTACCAACTCTTGCAGTGTTAGCAAATAAATATTTATGTTTAAGCGCAACATCTGTTCCATCAGAAAGACTATTTTCTGATGTTGGTAACCACATCACAAATAAAAGAAATAGATTGTCTTCAAAAACCATTTCTGAATTGTTGTTTCTAAAAAGAAACATGAAGACCTTTTCTATTTTCGATTAAAATAATATTATATCAATAATTATATAATATTTTTCATAAACATTATTGTGAATAAATTTATTATTATTATTTATTATTTTTTTGATTTATTTTTTAAATCGTGAATAAATTATTTTTTAAATTAATTTAAGGGTAGAGTGTAGTCATGTGATTTTATATAATGATCGGCGAGGATAAATAATTCCCGAACCACTTTTAAATCACTTGACACGTACATAGCTACACTAAAAAATAGTTTTCATGACACGAAAATTATCACGAAATCCATTTTCAGCATGTATCCAATCATATAGTAATAAAAAAAAATTTTTGTTGTTAGAAGGTTATTTCAAAAAAAGCTTGTAAAGTTAAAGACAATTTGCGGATACCTTAGTAAAACATAACAATAGTAAATTTTCTATTTAATAAAAATAAAATTATATTTATATTACAAATAAATACATTTTTTTTTAACATTATAATAAAAACAATATTTATATATATATATTTTTAGCGTTATAATAATATTCAAAAATTTACTTCTAATGAGTTCACATGGTAAGTGGTATAATACTCTTTGTAATAATAACTCTAATTATAAACTGTTAAGGCGTCCTAATAGAACCTGGTTAATTCGGGATGATTCTTCAAATTTGGAAGTATTGGAATACCATAATAACTTACAAATTACAGAGACTCCAGAGAATAATTATTATAATTTACTTACAGTTGAAGGATGTGATATAGACATAGATCAAAAAACATATGTACCAATTCTTCCTGGATATTCAATTATTACAAATATTGGAGGATCATATATTCGTTTTACTATTAAAAAAAATGAACAGAATCTTTTGTATTTTGCTTGGTATGATTATGGCAATGATAGCACTTTAACATCAGAAGAACATTCTTACTCGGGTACACATTTTTTCAACACCTTCAATGATTATATACAAAAAAAAAGAAAGGGCAAATGGTCTACACCTAATCTTCTTGGTTTGAATATTAAAGAAAATGTTGAATTTCTTTGTAATAAGATATGCCACCACTATCCCTCTATATTTAATGATTGTAAACAAATTCAAACTGCAACAAAAAAAACAAATACATTAATTAATGCAATGAAAAGGAAAGGTGACCAACTTATCAAAGAAATTGAATCAGGAGTAGAAAATGATAATAATATTAACGAAAATCAAACCAATATCAAAGAAGGAATTATTATTAAGAGTAAGGGTATAAATGTTACTCCAACAGAAGCACAGGCTGCTCTTGTCAAATTCAGGGAGAGAGATCGTTTGTTTCATCAAGAAAAAAAAAAATATAAGCGTGCTATGGAAACTGTCACCAAACTACAAGAGAAATTGAGTGAAAAAAATACATTAGATTATGAAAGACAGTTAAAAATCAAAGAATTAGCTACTCAGGCAATCAATTCATCACAAGTGGGTTCTACAATAATAGTTGATACTTGTAATTATGTCAGTGCACTATTATCACAACCTTGCCATAATTGTGGTGATATTTCAATTGATAATAAAAATTGTGTAATCAACAATGTAGGTTTTTCGGTAAACACCATTATATGTTGTGGATGCTGTAATAACATTTCTGAATTTTCTAATGATACACCAAAGGCAAGTACATCTGTTCTAGTAGCTGGTGGTAGTTTATTATCAGGGATAAATAGACAACAATGTGAAACTTTTTTGAGCACCATTGGTATAACATCTCATACTTGTAAAAAAACTTTTCACGAACATCAAAAAAGATTTTTTAAAAATCTGATTGAAGAAGCAGAAATTAGTGCTGAAATGGCATTAAGAGCTACCATTAAAATCTTGAAAGAGAATAATAAAAATATTTTACCAGTGAGCTTTGATGTTTCTTGGTCTCACGTTAGAAATGCTAACCAAGCAACTGGGGAATTTATTTTCCAAGGTGAACTGCCAGGCTATTCATCAAAACCAGTTGTTGTATTTCATGTAATTGAGAAATCAAGATTCATTAAAATTTCATGCGAAGGTGAAGATAAAATACATGAAGTTCATAAGGGAAATTTTGATAAAGCTAGTAGACAGATGGAACATGCCATTTTGATTGCCTGTTTAGAAAAAATAACACCTATTTTAGATGAAGAAAATATATTATTAGATATAGGTGTTGATGGAGATTTAGATAGCAACAAAACATTAAAAACAGAAAGAGTGGTTAATAAAGTGTATGGTGATTTAAAACATGCAACTAAAATCATCAGAGGAAAGATAATTAAAAACAAAAAGTGGAATACCTTTGAGCAGCCAATTATGAAATACTTTTGTAGTTGTGTATATGCTGCTTCTGCAAGAAAAGCATCAAAGGAAATGATAACTCCAACAGAAGAAGAATTGAAGAATGTGCAAGTGAATGGTTTAGTTTCACACTTTTCTGGAGATCACTCTTTGTGTTGGTCAGAAGTATGCTGGTTGAAAGATAATCCTGATTTAGAATTAGTTGAACCTAATTTACTAAAATATAATAATTCAGAAAAAGAAGACTTTAAAAAAATGTTGCAAAAATGTTTTGCCTCTCCTACACAACAAAGTTTTGTGACAGAAATCAGAACTTCTTATAATGAGTCACTAAATCGAAGAAAATTAAAAACTTTAGATAAAAAGATTGATTTTTGGGCATCATTTAAAGCACGTCATGCTGTTGCTATTTTGGACCATAATGAAGGTTTATTAGAATTTATTAAGATTACCAGAAAAATTAAGGGACTTCCATCTCTTTCAGAAAATGATATTAAGAATATAGAAAAAATTGCTCTTGCACACGATGTTCAAAGATTTAGAAATTTGAAAAATATTCACGTAAGAAATATTGAAAGAGAAAATAAAATTATAGAACAAAAACAACAATTAGAAGCCTTTGACTATGATCAAGATCTGGTACCTTATGGCATGAGGTTTCATTCAAGAATTGTACAAGAAAATTTCAGACCTTCATTTGCTCACTTGATCCAGGATTTTAAAACAATAAATAAATGCACCTCTTGTTGTAGTTTTCCTAAGTTCTCTTCTAGAGGATTTTGTAAAACCTGCACCTTTTATTTTGAAAATAATATGTTTTACAATTTGCCTTTAACAACAGACATAACTGAATTTTCAACAATAGAATCATTTCAAAATACTGATAAGATACAATCTGCACTCTCCACCATCTATCAGTATCAAACATTTAGAGAATGTCAAGAGGAATGTATTAGGTCATTTGTGGCTAATAATGATACAATGATTCTATTACCTACTGGAGGAGGTAAAACATTATGTTATTCTATTTCTGCATTGATTGGGAAAGAACTTACTGTAGTATTTTCTCCATTGAAGGCCCTGATTGATGATCAAGTGGTAAAAATTAATATTAGTTTTGTACATTTTATATTGAAAAAAGATATGAATATAAACTAATTATTTTATCTTATTAGGTCGAAGCTATTCATGCTGGAATTAATTGTGCTGGGATATATTCTAAAACAGGGCAGTCTTTGGAATATCAGTCTAAAGTATTTGAAGAAATTGCAGCAGGGTTCACTAAAATTCTTTTTGCTACTGCTGAAAAATTTGACTTAAATCCAAGCTTTAGAGCAATGTTGAAAAGAATATATGAAACAAAAGGGCTGCGCTTTGTAATAGATGAAGCACATTGCATAATAACTTATGAATATTTTAGGTAAAAAATTTTTTTTATATATAATAATTGATTACAGTCTAATTTATTTATTTTTACCCATAGAAAATCATGGAGAAACCTTGGACAATTGAGACAGCTATTCCCTAATTCACCAATAATGTTACTAACAGCAACATGTTCACTTCAAGATGCAAGCAGTATCTGTGAATCATTACAAATTCCATTAAGAAATCTAACAATTTTTCGAAGTAAAAATTTTGCTAGGCCTGAAATAAATATTGAAGTACGACAAAAGGGTCAAAAACAAAAATTATTGTTAGATATTATCAATTTAATAGAAGAAGTAGTTGAAGGAAAAATTATAATATATTGTGCTACTCCTGACAGTTGTGAAGGTATTTATGATGAACTTACTAAAAAACTTAAATCTATTTCAATAAGTATGTACCATGGAAATATTGGTGGGTCTGATAAAAATCAATTGATTCAAGAATGGAAGGAAGGAAAGTATAAAATAATGATTTCTACAAATGCTTTTGGATTGGGTATAAATACATCAGATATTAGAACTATTATCCATGTTACATTTCCACTTAACTTAGGTAAATATCATTAATCATTTATTATTTGCAAATAAACAAATTAACGTTGTAATTCATTTTTAAAAAGGGAACATGATACAAGAAATAGGTAGAGCAGCAAGAGATAAACATCCAGCAAAGTCTGTGCTTTTTTATTCCAGAGGTGATATTCGGAGTGTATATTCAATTGCATCTAGTGGTAGAGAAAGGTAGTTATTTATTAATGATTATTCTAAAAATCAGCTAGTTGATTCTCATCTTTTATATTCTTTATATTAAGTTCAATAAGTGTCTTGAGTTCTCAAAGTGAAGAAAATGATGAAAGGATTCAATATTTATTAGATCAACAAAAAAAAATACATGAGGTAATGTTTTATTGTGAAGAAATTTATACTTGCCGCCACCAATTGTTATCCAGATACTATGCTTGGCCTGGTGACTTACCTTCTCAACAATGCAATAAGTGTGATAATTGTCTACGTTATTTAAAAGATAACCCCATACTTTGTGATATCAATGTTGATGTTT